ACTTGATGACCTCTCGAGGTCCCTTCCAGTCCTAGTATTCTATGATTCTATGATTAGTTTCAAAAGAGAACTCGTCAAATTTGTGAGTGCGATTGTATGATAGTGAATCTTGTGACGGTAGTGGGCAGAACTCAACAGTCCCTGGAGCTCACTTCTGGTTTATGTCTTAGGTTGCAAAAAGCTCATGTTTTAGGGTTTCACATGATCACCTGCAGGGGGTCAGAAAGCAATCCTCTCCCACCATGAATTTAGGATGTGGTTTGACCTCCATCCTCTGATGCATCAGATGTGGCCATGGTTGGAGATGGGTCATTAGATGGGATGGGCTAGGGCTCAGATGTGCCATTAAGCAATCTGTCTCCCAGGTGCTTGGCTGGTTGATTTTCTTGCTCATGCACTCAAGGGAAGGAGGCAAATCTAAGGGTACAGCTAAACTTGCTCCCTATCTCGAGAAAGGGATGCAAATGCAGTGTACCAAAATTGCTACACTACTACACTATTTAAATATCCCACGCTTAATTAGCATAATCGCGTCCGGGTGCCATTTTGAATCACGTTATTGTGAAATAAAACGCCCCGTGTAGCAGCGTTATTTCGAGAGAAAACCCTTCTCTCGAAATAACTGTTACTCCTCATTGTATGTTACAATGAAGAGCGGCTGCCAGGCTGTTTCTCTTCTAAAAACTGTGAGCCCAGAGGAAAGGGGGGAAGGTTTTAGGTGCTGCCCTGTTCCCAGCACAATCCCATTGGCTGGTTTCTGACCAGAAGGAAAAAAAAAGAAGTGTGTGTGTGTGGGGGGGGTGGGGAACCAAAGTTGTTGAGCCAAAAAAAAAAAAAAAGGAAAAAGGACTCCAAGAAAATGTGCGGTTGAGCACTAAGACCCTTGGTCGGCAGCCATTTTGTGCCGGCAGACTTGCTGGGGTCGGGGGGCTGGGGGTATTGGGAGCTGGGGAAGGAGGCTCGGTGGGAGGGGGATGTGTGCAGCCAGGTGCTGAGTATTTATAGGGTTTCCAGGTACCTGGCATTTTTGCCTCCTGGCCGGGGAAAAAATCAGAAAATACTGGACATTTTAGGTGTCCGGTATTCTTTGAATTTTTTTACTGGACTGGAGGCGAAAATACCGGACTGGTAAATACCAGACACCTGGCAACCCTATAGCCAAACCCTTTGTCCCCCTCCTACATCCAGAACCCACTCTCCCTCCTGCACCCCAATCCCTTACTCCAAGCTCCCTTCTGCACCCAACCTCCATTCCAGACCCTGCACTTCCTCCATTAATATCATGGAAGAGTGTGGCCCTTGTCTACTTTCCAAAAGCTTGGAGTGGACCCCCATCAAAAATTAGTGCCCACCCTTGGTATAAAGTTATCTCAAATCTGGGGAGAAAAGACAAGAGAAGGAAACAAAAGCTAAAAAATGTTCTATTCCTTCACAGTCTCACAGCTTTTCCTTGTATATAAAGCACCACAGAGGAAGAAGGGGAGTGACCCAGGAGAAAGCAACTATTTTATTATTTCTTCCTCTGTGGGATTATTTATATATTAAAAAAGGTTTCGTAACTGATCTGATCAGAGCACAAACTCCTGAGCAGTGCATTGTAAACTGTATTGGAAGGTCAGAGAACACAACTACAGGCCAGGATCTAATGGTAGCACAACTACCAATTAATCAGTGTTTTTGTTTTAGAAGGATCTGTAGATGTTTTAAGAGAGGGACTAACAGGAAGAAAAATTGCTCACTTGTAAGGTGTGGGGGAGAGTTTCTCTCAGCCTATCTGCTAAACCAGGGGTGGGGAACCTCAGGCCCAGGGCCATATGTGGCCCCTTAGCTTGCCTGGATCCAGCCCCCAAGGCTCAGAGGTCCCCCTAGTATTGGAGAGTCCATACTGGTGCTCCAGTCCCCCTGATGCCCCACCATGGGGCTGAAGCACACATCATCTACCAGGCTAGTTCCCTGTAGGCTCTCATGTGCGAGTGGAATGTGGGGAGTCTCTCTCCTTCTCAGACAAGGGCCACTTTTTTTGGGTTTTGTTGTTGTTGTTGTTGCATAGTGCAAATTGCATATCTTATTTCGAGTTTAGGGCGCTGTGAAGATGCACCCCAGTCTCACTTTTCCATCTGTAAAATGATGATAATACTCCTATTTTCTCTCTTGTGTACTGAGATTAACCTTTTCAGGGCAGGCATTTCGTAATATGTGTATGTACCAAGCAATTGCCAATGGGGTCTCTTAGAAAGAGACAAGGCAAAACCAAGGGAAGAGATAGATCCAATCCTGCTGCACTAGAGCAGAACAAACTACTTACTGCAGGATCACACCCTTCAATGTTGGAACCCACTGACCCTGAAGAATTATAACATTTTATATAGCATTTTTAATCCCTAAATCTTAAAACATGTTAAAAAAATGGATAAGCATTATTATTATTATTCCTGCTTTATCAAGGGGAAAAACACAGCTATTTTGAAATAGCTTATTTTGAAATTTGGCACATCTACACAGTGCCAAATTTCAAAATAACATGCCATTTTGAGCCATCCCTTAACCCTTGTGCAGCGAAGTTTACTCAGATGGCAAAATAGCCCACCTATTATTTTGAAAAATATTTTGAAATAACGAGTGGCTTTTTTAGACCTATGGTATCCCATATTAGCTGTACAGCGTAGATGTACCCAGAGAGATTAAGTGACTTGTTTAAAGTCCTACACAAAGCCTGTGGCAGAACTGAGAATTGAATTAAAATCTTCTGAGTCCCAGTTGAGTTACCTAATCCTAAAACTAACCAATTTGCTTTAATTGTTATCTTAATGACTAAATAATTGGAGCATATTATTTTTAATAAAGTAGAAGCATTTCTTGCAGATATATTTCTTGCAGATATAGTACTCCCATAGATGCTAATGTGAGTTCTGCATGAGTAAGTGCAGCATTTGCCTTTCTAAAACAGATGCATGTTCTGTAGTCTTTAATTTAAAGCAGATTCCCGTTAACAATTAGTTTAGTTTAATTCAGGACCATGCCATTTGGTCCATATAACTCAGCAGCATGCTATTGCAAGCACAACACAACAACTGAAAGAACTTCTACAGTAGCTGAGTGAGTCTATTAAATGCATGAATCCTCACCATTGCCTTCCCTTTTTCTCTGTCTACTTCCTTTCCTCCTTCACCTTTTTTCTGAAGTTTGCTTCTATTCTTTTTCCTATTTAAAAATATCAGTTTGTACATAAAATAAGGATAAGGCAGAATAAGATTTAAAACTATTTTAATTTTTATAAGCAATTTTTGTAAACTGAAATACAAATAATATGTTTATTTTAACTATTCATATATAATAAAATGTTTCAAGTAGAGTTAAGGATAGGTAGGAAATGGTTAATATTATGAGAAGTTTGTGTATATATCATTGTCCCCCCCCATATATTAAAAATTTAATACAGTCGTTTCCCAAGTTACGACCACCTCCACTTATGACCATCCGCACTTACGACCAAAGCGGTCATAAATGCAGATCTGAGTTACGAACGGCGATCTGCGCTTACGAACAGTGTGGTTGCCATGTAACTCTATGGGATCTGAGTTACGAACTCTTCGAGTTACGGACCAAGTGTTGGTCCATAACTTGTTTGTAACTCGGGGAGCAGCTGTAAATAATTATTAGGAACAAAAGTTCTACCATAGAAATTCTTCCACTCTTCTGCTTTGCAGTGCTAAACTGATCAGGCCTTCCAATTTAAGGACCTGATTCTTGCAAGTCATTGGAAGGGTAATTCAACATCTCTTAAAAAACAATCTGCATTACGAACATTTGGAGCCCTATAGTATTTCTTTAAAAATACATTTAGTGCTCACATAACATAGAAATACTCATTTTGATGAAAAACTCATTTTTTTTAGCAAAACTTTGCCAATGACGAGAACGAGTAGTCCTGTGGCACCTTAAAGACTAACAAAAATATATATTTTCATGAGCTTTTGTGGGCAACACTCACTTCATCAGATGGGTAGGTCTTGCCCACGAAAGCTCATGATACTATATATTTTTGTTAGTCTCTAAGGTGCCACAGGACTACTTGTTTTTAATGTTACAGACTAACATGGCTACCCCTCTGATGCCAATGAAGAGATTTGACCATCGATGTTCTTTTTCCTGTAGCCATGAGGGCAGCAGAATGTTATTTTAAGACTCTTTGGGTGCAATCATGCAGTTCTAGTGTAGGCAAAACTCCTGATGAATTCCAAGGAAAAATTTCCCAGGTAAGGGCTAGAAGACTAAGTCTGTCATTGGCCTGAAAGTATCTCATTGTAGTTAGTGGGGCTGTTCTATGTGCTCTTTATAGTCTAGTTCCAGTGTTTAGAGAAAAACAGAATAGTTTCTTAGACCAGGTCTATACTAGGCCTGTAAGTTTGGCTTAGGTTATGTAATTGACATACTGTAAGCCGAGTTTGGCACTGTCTTCACAATGGGAGGTTGACGGGAGCAAATGCAACTCTGAGTTCTGGCACCAACCGGAGGCACTCTCAGCATTCAATTTAATAGGTCTTAATTAGACCCACTTAAATCAAATGCCAGAAGATCCATCTCTGGCATGTAAGTGTAAACATGGCCTTAATAAACAGAGAGACATTAGTAGAATATTTCAGAGCTGAATATGCAGAGCCAAATTCTGTCAGGCTTAAACCCCATGCAACCCCTCGGAAGCCTGGGGAGATTGCAGAAGATGTAAATATAGCAGAGTTAGGTCAATAGAATTATAAAGGGCAAGTCATTTGAGACTTCTGATACAGAATACACTCTATAATACAGACAGTTCTAATCATGTGGTATAGCCAAAATCGAAATCCAAAATTCACAAACAAAGCAGCTAAAGTTTTTTTTTAATACATAAAAAGCAATCATTGTTAGCCTCTGGCAATAAATTTACTTGAACAAGTCTGTTTTTAAACTGTGCATGAACAAGTACTATTCTTAAATATATTTGTGTTGACTTTGTTTTCCAGAATAGGCTACCAGATACCAATGTTTGCTGGCTTCTGCATTATGTTTGTTTCCACAATTGGTAAGTGTTTGTCTTTTGTATATTTCATGCATTTTTCATAAATGATCCATCCTTTAGAAGGTGCTGTGTTGATGGGGGTTGGAATACACCTTGTTTTGAAAGTAAAATACTGGGATGCCTGTTACAGGAAGAAGTTGAGACTTGAATTAATGTCTTGAGCGATTTTGATGGGCATCCAAGTCGGTGTACAGGAGATGGTAGAAGAATAGGATGCCTACTCCTTCTCTTAATCTGAGAAACTCACTTCATTCCTTTTCTGCTATCCAATGGATTAGACTATTGCTCTTACTAGCACAAATCATCAGTAACTCCATCAGGAGCTTTAACTATGTTAAACTGGTGAACAGAATAAGGCCATATGTGCAGTTAAGGGCTGGTTGAAGGGCTTGTGCCATGTCTGGGGAGGAAGTATTGAGACTCGTGTGGTTAGCCAGCAAGATGTCAGCTTCACAAGCTCGGCTGATAGGGGACTCCTTCAAGTGGCCCACTTGCAGATTTTGTAAAACTGATAGTAACACAGGAACACACCCTGAAAGACAACATTCCCTGTTTTCAGGGACAAGTGTTCACTGTACACTAACATCAGTGGGGAGTCTTTCCAGAACATAGTGTAGGATCAGGTGCAATACATAGGCGGCTAGATAGTGCCTTTAGGTACAGCTTTATGCAAGGGATAGGGCACAGATACAGCCCTTCAGGGGCAGCAGCGGGAGGAACTGTGCCTCACACATAATTTCTCTAGTGTTCTGCTATCAAGAAGATCTGTTAAGTTGCTAGAGTCCTTACAGGGATGTCACACGTTCCTCTACATGTCCAGCCAACTATGTGCAGAAGTACATAGTGAGCAGTAGAGAAGAGCCATTGCTAAGTCTCCCTTTGCTTAGTTGTGGGAAGCAGCATTTGGGGTGCTGCCCCTGCTTTTCCCAATGTCTGAAGCTGCAAATTGGGCCATGCTATTGCAGCAGTGCAGGGAGAGGGGGTGAGGCTGGGGGCAGTTGCATTAAACCAGGGCATACTTAGTAATTAGTGAAGATAGCTTTTATACATATATTTTGTGTGTGTGTGTGTGTGTGTGTGTGTGTGTGTGTGTGTGTGTGTGTGTGTGTGTGTGACCAGGAGGCTTAGATGTGGAGAAACGATTCAACACTGACAAATCTAAATGTAATAAAAGAAAATAATGTGGTTAGCATTGAAAGTGACAACAGTGACAGAAAACACTTGGCTAAATTGAATGGTGTTTTCATGATTGTTAAAATATCTTTAACTTTTAACCTTGTTAGATTTAACCTGATTTAAAAAATCTACCTTGGCTTTTTCTGCAGTGTTTGCCTTCTCAGGAAGCTATACCTTACTATTCATAGCAAGATCTCTTCAAGGAGTGGGATCTTCCTGTTCTTCTGTGGCTGGTAAGAATGAAAGTGCATATGATAGATTTAATTAACTGTATTTTAGTCTGTCATTCTAGTGACAGTCACTACCTTAATTATATAATGTTGTCTGGAAGTTTCAATAATTAAGGTAGAATTCAGTTACATTCATTTTACATTCAGTCAGCCTTATGTATACACAGTGTCTCAGATTAATGTCAGTTCTAAATTCTTTGGTATTTGGGTCACGTTACTGTAGAAAACTAAGGATCTATATTTTTTCAGGTACTAGCACACAAATGTTTTTAGGGGTTTTTTTTTATTCCTTTTATCAGTGTGAAAGATCAGCAAGAATAGAGGTTTGCACTGAAGGCTGGTAGCTTGTTGCTTCCCATTATAGGACCCTGTTTTTAGTTGCTTACATCCTTGCCAAACTGTAACCGTTTGGATTGAGATTTGTATGCTGGGAGTGTGTGTCCGGCTGATTATTTTAATACAAAATTTTAAAAAAGAGTTCACAGGATGAGGGTCTGAATAAGAATGAGATTAGGGCAAAAGCACATTATTTTGACCATGTTTAAAAAATATGTCAACTCTTCTTTTTACAAGTAAAAAGTTCTGGAGCCCCCATCCTTTGAAACAGAGACTGGAAATTTGTCAGGGAGTGTTCTTTGTGTCAGAGATGTGCCTTTTGCCATATTCATAAAAATCTATCCAAATTTTGCCAAGTTAAGTCTGAAAAATTGCAGTACATACATTCTTAGCAAAGACTAGTTAAGAGGATAGCAGCTAAATTCGATGAAGACTCTATCTGCACTGGAAATACTCCAGTCTGGGGATGAACAGGACTTTCCTTGCAACTGCCACTTTGGGCTGCTTGAGTATTCAAGGCCAAGCCTGGGCATATGAACGAATGGCAGAGAAAACTAGGCTTTCTATACTTTCAGTGATGTTGGGAACATCAATGAGATGAGGAGCCAGGGAGAGAGCACTAGAACTTGCTGTGCAAGCAGACTGGGAATGGGAGGAGTAGCCTGAGAAGGATCTGTCTGTGTGAGGAGAAAGGAACTATGATGATGATCAAGGGATAGAAAAGAGACAGGACTGGGAGAGGGACAGATTGGAGGGGACAGGACAGAAAGGGTCATAGGTAGGAAGGAATGGGAAGAAGAGTCTATGCCAGCTACAGCATACTCCACCTTCAAACAGAACCTACAATTCCTAAGTCTCACCATTCTTCCGCTCTCAGCAAATATCTGTAAAATCTAGTGGCAAAGTGTCCCACCTGCCTTTAGTGCTGGTCTATGCAGAAGATGACAACCTACTAATTGGGATGTGAACAAATAACTAATTAACTGGTTACTCAGTGCCTCACCCTCACCCCTTGACAGCTCTGTGTGGGCCATTTAACCAGTTAACTGATTAAATGGAATTTTATATCCCTACTTTCTAATGCTATCATTTACTCTGTTTGATCAATTGGCTGAAGTCTGTACTGTGTCTCCGGAGGTTCTAATCTTTCTGGTGATCCCTCTGCTTGTCAATATGGTGCTGTGTGAATCATGAGGGAATTTGTGTTTTTTCAGTTTGCTTTTTTAAAAAGTAGGAAATTAGGGTATGTCTACACTACCCCGCTAGTTCGAACTAGCGGGGTAGTGTAGACATACCCAGAGAGAGTGTGTGTGTGTGTGTGAGAGAGAGATGTGAGTGTGTATGTGAGAGAGTGTGTGCATCTGAATGTGTGTGTGTGTGTGAGAGAGAGAGTGTGTGTGTGAGTGTGTATGTGAGAGAGAGTGTGTGCATCTGAATGTGTGTGGTTGCTGCATAGCTCCACTTCCCACTCTCATCATGGCAGCAGGAGCTGCAGGGGAGGGATGACCCGACCCCTGTTGCCACCCCATGCCAGGTCATCCAATATCATCTGAGGTTGCATCACTCGGGGTGAGGGAGGGACATAGCAGGGACTGTCTTGGGGGGAAGAGTACAGACACTCCCTTGGGGACTCATGTGCCAGGAACTGCAATCAGGCCAGAGTGTGGAACAGCTCAGGCTGCAGATGGCCCATGGGCTGTGAGTTTGAGATCCCTGCTGTACAATAAAGCATTTACATGAAAGTAATCTTAATTCTGTAATTTCCTAAATTTTGAATATGATTTTGCAATCTCAATGTTCTTTATCTCTAAGGGTATGTCTACACTACCCCGCTAGTTCGAACTAGCGGGGTAGTGTAGACATACCCTTAGAGATAAAGAACATTGAGATTGCAAAATCATATTCAAAATTTAGGAAATTACAGAATTAAGATTACTTTCATGTAAATGCTTTATTGTACAGCAGGGATCTCAAACTCACAGCCCATGGGCCATCTGCAGCCTGAGCTGTTCCACACTCTGGCCTGATTGCAGTTCCTGGCACATGAGTCCCCAAGGGAGTGTCTGTACTCTTCCCCCCAAGACAGTCCCTGCTATGTCCCTCCCTCACCCCGAGTGATGCAACCTCAGATGATATTGGATGACCTGGCATGGGGTGGCAACAGGGGTCGGGTCATCCCTCCCCTGCAGCTCCTGCTGCCATGATGAGAGTGGGAAGTGGAGCTATGCAGCAACCTTTGTTCTGCTCCACTGCCATCTCCTAGGCCAGCCTGGTCACTCCATTTCACTATGACAATAGGCAGCAGAGAGTCCCAGCCTCAGTGCAGGCTGGCTTGGGAGATGGTGTTGGAGTGGATCAAGCCGCTGCATAGCTCTGCTTCCCTGTGGCTCCCATTGCCATAGTGAGTGTGAAGGGACCCAACCTCTGCTGCCAGTCCCAGCCTGCCCAGGGCTCGGCAGGTTAACCTGAGAATGGGGGACCATCCTGTCTATAGGATGGTTGGGGTGGCCACCATGGGGCCCCCAAAGTATGGGGCCCAGAGCAGCCACACTGAACATCCTATGGATGGGACAGCTCTGCACATACCTCTCCCAGGCACAGCGATGTGCTGGCAGTAGAGCAGGGCTAGCAGCCGAAGCTGATTTATCCCCTCTTTGCTTTAGCCCCTCATGGTGGCTCCTGGGTGGGGGTTCTTGGCAGGTTTAAATTGCCCCAAAGTGGCAGGCAGAGCCAGAGGATGAAAGAGGGAGGTAGTGCACAAAGAACTCCTTCGCCCCAAGCCGTGCCTGCTGGCTGACTAGGAGCATTTGAGGACTGGCACTGGCCCTAAGATAAATTGAGTTTGAGACCCCTGTTATATAGGCTTTAAATTACATTATCACATACTATTTTTTTCATAGAACTCCTACCACATTCAGTGCACAGGATTGATCTGTTCCGACTCCAGCCTCACTTGTTGCAGAAATTGTAAAATTTAATGAATGAGACGGGATTTCAGGCAGACAAAAGATAGATTCCTGGCTAAAGCAGTTGAATGCTGCCCTAGAGAATTGAATTATATCTCTGTTTTTTCCAAATAGTTCCTCTATGATGCTAGTCAAGTCACTTAAACCAGACTTTTCACATGTGGTCACTGTGTGCTCCTCATTTTCTGAGCACCTGACTCTGGGGTCTGACCTACAATACTGCTGAACACTGACAGCTGCAACAGAATGCATTGAACATATAAACTGCTATATAATGCTAAATACTTTGAAAAAATCAGGTCCTAGGCATCTCAATTTAGGCACACAAAATTAGCAGATCCTATTGGCCACAGAACAGAGGTCAATATCCCCTCATTTTACAGGGGTGTTCAGAAACTAAATGCCTTAATGTGCATGAAGCACTTATTTTGTAATGATGAGCACCCTTGAAAAGTCCCTGAAGAAATTAATAATTCTGTCTTCAGGCAGGATTTGAATTGTTAAGTAAATAAGTCTTATGATCACACATTGAACAAGGAGTAAAACATTGACTAGCTGCTCATTTAGTCAACACTTTCCATTCAGTGCACTAAATGGAAAAGAAAACTAGTATATGATCAAGTAATTAGTGACTATATCATAATGGATACAGAGAAGGGGTCCAAAGTAAGGCTATACAGGAAGCTGTAGTTCTGGCATTTCCCATGAGTGCTTAATTTTGCAACCTTAAGAATTTTTTTTAATACAGTTTGTGTGTAATGGTATGTATAATGAGGCATAGCCTTAAAGCTATTTATTTCTGCAGGATTTATTTCCTCTGACTTCAGTAGGAGTTATTAATGGAGGAAAATAAATAAATATAAACACAGAAAATGTTTAATGTCACATTTTTCCACTATTTAATAACCTGGTATGTGATGAAAATAAGTTATATTATAGAGCTGTCTATTTTTTTTTTTAATTTTAGGGATGGGCATGCTGGCCAGTGTTTATACAGATGATGAAGAGAGAGGCAATGCAATGGGAATTGCATTAGGAGGATTGGCTATGGGAGTATTAGGTCAGTGAGATGAATATTTATGGCAACAAAAACAAACAAAAACCCTAAAACCCAACCAATCCCCTACCCAAGTCTAAAATAACAATGCACATCTGTAGTGTATAGATGCTACAGAGATTCCACTTAGTAGCTCCTTTCTATAAAAATAGAATTTTGTCATCATAGCTCCAGATTACATTAACAGTGTACATAAAAATAGTTTTTAAAAGCTAAAGTAAATTTCATATGCAAATACATTTTGCTAAAGAAAGACAAATCTGCTGACTTTGAATCCGATAACTGATGAGACTTTGAGAGTGCCTCCCCTTAGCTGTGTGCTGGAGAACAATGATTAACATCAGAGATATTGTTGCTCCTTCTCAGTTACGTAAATGTTTTTTTTGGGGTGGGGGCGAGGAGGGGGGAGATTTACAACAGTTTGTTTGGAAAAGCCTTTGAAGTTAGGTCACAGTGTTTGTATTTCTATGCTCACATCCACATAAATCTATCTTTAAATCTTAGAGTTCAACATAGAGATCTGCCAAATGTTTGGGTCCATCCTGTTTCAATTAGTCACTGGCAAAAAATCTTTCTTCACAGGCTCTAAGATCAGTATTTCTATTATGCTCATCCTCATGAGCAACTTTCAGACCCTTTGTCAGGTTCCTAATAGGAATGTAAAATCTCTATTATCAGTTAACCAATTAGTTGGTTAACTCGTTAAACATTTAAGTGGGATTCCAGGGCTAGGACGGCCCTGGGCAGCAGCCACTAGCAGCAGGAGGCTTCTGGCCCTGGGGCTGTTGCCATTGGTGGTGGTAGAAGGCTCCCATGCCTGGGACTAGAGGGCTGCCACCAGGTACTGGCCCTGCTGGGGCAGCCCTATGCCAACAGCAAGGCATGGACGGTAGGGGGGCTGCTTCTGGGCACCGGTTAACCGGTACCCGGTAAGCATCATATGGTAAGGGTGATGCTTACCGGGTAACTGGTTACCCATTCACATCCCTAGTTTCTAGCATTCTTTCTTCCACTGGGACAAAATCCTGCTTGTCTTATTTACACAGAGTGTTCTGTGGAAATCAGTGGAACTGCTCATGTGAGTGAAGCAAGTGGGATGAGGCCCAGGCTTGACATTTATTGTTTGGGCAATGATTGTAGACTGCAGACAGCAATCCCTGAGAAATTCTCTAATCTAATCTACTCTAAATAAAGACGTTCCTCATCTTGAGTTGCACTGCTTTGGCTATTTTAATTAATGATCACTAAGATGGATGGCAATTTAGGCACAGAATTTCAGTGTTAAGAGAATTGGTTTCCCCAAAAGTACAGTTGATTCAAATCTTTTTTTTAAAAAAGACCATGAATATTTTTCTTGTTTTTTCTCTCCTAGTGGGTCCACCTTTTGGGAGTGTAATGTATGAATTTGTGGGAAAGACAGCACCTTTCCTCGTGTTGGCAGCATTAGCTCTGTTGGATGGAGGTCAGTAAATACTAACATTCATCATTTTGTTTGTCATTCATTCATTTTTATTGTATATTATGGCTACCATCATAAACCACAGCTACAGCATTTATTTCTTTTTGCAGCTATTCAGTTATTTATTCTACAACCATCCAGAGCACAACCAGAAGTAAGTATCACTATAGTATCACTTATGTAAGAAGTAATGTTTTGCCCTTCCTAACCCTGAGGTTTTATTATTTGTTTGACAGAGTCAAAAAGGGACACCGCTACTGACCCTCTTGAGAGATCCATACATCCTTATTGCTGCAGGTACAGTTTAATTCAAATACAGTTTAATTCAAATACAGTTTAATTCTGACTGTGCTTTTTTCCTGTACCTTGAATCCCAGACTTCCTTACTCTGGCCCTGATTACAAATAACTTTCTACCGATGCATCTCAATGATTTGCATGTGAATTTAAAATAAGGCTCCAGGAACAAAATAACTAATTCATGGAAGATCAGATGGGCTCAAGATGCAAGAGCTGGATTCACATCAGACTTTGAACTTCCCAAAGAGCAGAGATTATGGTTCACATACATCTCTGTGTAGGATTCTGTAAAGCATGCATTGTTCACCAGAGAAACTTTGAGGAAAAATACTTATCAGTTAGGCTTGTGTAAATGCACTCTTCTGGTCAGTTAAACAAATATGTAACTATTTTTTCCCAAGCCTATTGTTTACCGGACAAATGCTTTGCAATAACGAAAACTCTAATCAAATGGAATTGAAACCGACTGGTAGATTAGAAACGCTCCAACCTGTTAATCCCTTCCCAGACAGACCAACACCCATTAAGTGAATTCTGCTCACTCAGGGTATGTCTATACTACCACCCTAGTTCGAACTAGGGTGGTAATGTAGGCAACCGGAGTTGCAAATGAAGCCCGGGATTTGAATTTCCCGGGCTTCATTTGCATAAAGCTGGGCGCCGCCATTTTTAAATGTCCGCTAGTGCGGACTCCGTGCCACGCGGCTACACGCGGCACGGAGTCCGCACTAGCGGACATTTAAAAATGGTGGCGCCCGGCTTTATGCAAGTGAAGCCCGGGAAATTCAAATCCCGGGCTTCATTTGCAATTCCGGTTGCCTACATTACCACCCTAGTTTGAACTAGGGTGGTAGTGTAGACATACCCTCACTGAGGATAGATCTACTTTGCAACCAGGGATATGAATGGCAGCTTGTGTAGATGTACCTGCATTAGCTGTGCTCATGAAAAAACAGAAGCAAGGACACCACATACAGGATTCTCTATTAGCTCTATGAATAAATACATACTAAAAGGTTTCAGGGCCCATCCACATGCAATGCTGTTCACAACCTTATGCACAATGTGAGTGAACCTTGAGTCAGGTGACAGTTGTGCAGTTTTGATATATGGGAAATGTGGCTATATGGAGAGAAGGAAAATCCAGAATAAATCTTTCTCTCAAGCCTGTGAGAAAAGGGATTAAGCTGAACTTTGTTTTCATTAGCATGGGCGTGAATTTGGATTGTGCCTAAAGAATGAACTATGTTTAGAGGATTTTGAGATGTGTGCCTGCTTGTAGGTAGCTCATGGTCAAATAAGTATCACTTGCTATTAGAGGCATTAGTGATTTGATTAATCTTTCCCACAGGAAGTGCAACCTTGGCGATGGAACAATATTGGCCTAACTTAAGTGTAGGCCACAGCTTAGATTCAAATACATTTGAATTTTCTTTTCTTTCTTAAGGTGTTATCCTAGGGCAGTGTTTCTCAAAGTGGGCCATAGGCCCACTTTGAGAAAGCTACTAACAGACCACTGTGGTTTGTTTACTTAACGACTGCAACCATGGAGCCTCACAGCTCCCATTGGCTATGGTTTGCCGTTCGCAGCCAATGGGAGCTGCAGGAAGTGGCTGCAGAGCTGTTAAGTAAACCGGAGCAGTCTTTTAGAAGTTTCCACACAGCCCACTTTGAGACACTGGAATCCTCACCCAATTCCTTAGGACAATGTTCATTGTGAGTCTACTGGGAAATGTCAGGCTTGCAACGTATAGGAAGCTTATGGAGTATGACCGACCAGAAAACTAGAATTACTACCAGGGCAAGCCTTTCACTGCATATCCTTGCTCACCACAAGTAAAAGCATGATCTGTAATTGTCTACTCTAAGATATGTGCATTTTTCTATTTATAAACTAGTTTAGCGTATCTGTAGCAAGATGCTACATGAAAAGATCTGCTGATATTTCTAAGAAGTTTACATCCAGCACATTTTAAGCGCAAACATAGAAAGCTTTTCTTTGTCCCCATTGCTGTAACACATTCCTTTATATTCAGCTATTACTCCTTATTGCTGGTGGGTTCAGTACTTCCATTCCAGTGAATGTCACAGCAAAAAGGATGCCAGTAGTCATTGGAGCAGTGGTACAATTATGGTCCTTATGACCAGCTCTGATAAGCACATGGGTTGTAGCATTTGAATGATCTTGAAGTCCCATGTATAATGCATATGATCTCCAGACTGGACTGTTCCTAATGGCACAGATAACTCTGGTGGGGCCCACAGAAAGTAATGGTCACAATCTTATTGCAGATAAAGATAAAAGGCACTTTGTGGGTCCCCGATTGCTTTTTGAGGCCCTGGGCAGCTTAGGTGACCAGAAGTATCTCTGGGAATGCATACCTTATTAATGTGAGTTGGGAAGATCCCCTCAATCATGAGAGTTGATTTAGATGCTTTTTTTTCAGCTAACATTTCCATTTTGTCTGAATAAAGCCTCAGCCAGCTCATTCTATTTTGAATAACTTTTTTTGGTTGGCAACCAGGAACGCATGAACAATCTATACTATTGGGGTTTGAAGAAAGACATAGAATTGTGTGTCATCCAAATACTGGTGTCATTGTATGTCGAACTGCGTCAATATTTCCTCCAGTAGCTTTCACATGTGAACAGTATTCCGAGCTAACAGATTAGCATCATATCATGATAATGCTCTAAAGAAAGAGATGTGTGTGAACAAAGCAAATAGACACCACCTTCTGGTATCTTTGTCAGAAGCAGAAGACTGGGACCAGACAACTACCAGATGGTCTGCAGTCAAGCAAACAAAACTTCCTGATCAGTAATAAAGAAACATTTGTGGACGTCTAAGCTCTTCTTCGAGGAGTGTCCCTGTGGGTGCTTCACTTAAGATGTCTTTGCAGCCCTGAACCTCAAATTGGAGAATTGTGATATCAGTGCCTTTGGTAGGCTGTACATGTGGGGCAGCTGACATATGCCTTTTGGAGCTGCTATCCCTCATGCACAGCCAACCGACCCTTCAGTTTCTTCTCCACTGCCTTTGGCTTTGGTTGGAACTTAGCAGTCACCCTTGCAATCGATCTAAAAACATTAGCTTTACCGTTACCAATTTTTTGGTCATTTTTATCAAATTACTTAGTTGTTTGAACTGTTTTCCCTTTTAAAAAAAGTTTTTGGTTGCTGCCTTTGTGGCTTGTCCACCCCCTCGGACATGCCTGACTCCTTAAGCTTTAAACGCTGTCTTACTTGCAGACTTTCAGTTTCTGTATTTGACAGACAATCTCAGGGTATGTTTACACTAGCTCGTTAGTTCGAGCTATATAGGCAAATGAGGGCAACTGGAGTTGCAAATGAAGCCCAGGATTTAAATATCCCGGGCTTCATTTGCAAGTTCCCGGGCACCGCCATTTTTAAATCCCCCTTAGTCCGAACTAACTGCCTGCGGCTTGATGCGTCAGTTAAACGTTAATTTGAACTAACTCCTTAGTTTGAATTAACTGTTACTCCTCGTGGAATGAGGAGTAAGAGTTAATTCAAACTAAGGAGTTAGTTCAAATTAACGTTTAACTGACGCATCAAGCCGCAGGCAGTTAGTTCGGACTAAGGGGGATTTAAAAATGGCGGTGCCCGGGAACTTGCAAATGAAGCCCGGGATATTTAAATCCTGGGCTTCATTTGCAAAAATGGAACATGCAAATGAAGCCTGGGATATTTAAATACTGGGCTTTATTTGCAACTCCGGTTGCCCTCATTTGCCTACCTAGCTCGAACTAACGAGCTAGTGTAGACATACCCTCAGTGAGGCTACTGAGCTCCAACTCAAGCTATTTGCTCATGGAGAAGTTGTTCTATCCAGTCTCTGACCCGGAGCATAAGATGCCACCAAGACAACCATCTCCCGTGGCAATGTCAGAAAAGGCAGTTTCCCTGCGTAGAGCTCCAGAAAGTCCACTCCAGCTGCTATCTCCTGAAAGCACTCCTATTCTTTGGCTCGAGATAATTCTGCCAAAATAACCCTGCCCTGGCAACGGCGGCCCCTAGAGCACTAGACCACGAGGCACCATGTACATTAGGTACTGAGACGATCTGAAGAGTGCAAGACTCGGTATGAGTCAGCTGTAAGACAGCTTCCCGATCAAAGTCTAAATTGTCTTTATCGGTACTGACAAAGCCTGTGGCTACGTCTAGACTACATGCCTCTGTCTCCAGAGGCATGTAGATGAGGCTACCAGGCATAGGAAAATGAAGCGGCGATTTAAATAATCGCCGCTTCATTTAAATTTACATGGCTGCCGTGCTGAGCCGATCAGCTGTTTGTCGGCTCAGCACGGTAGTCTGGATGCGCGGGTGTCGACATCAAAGGCATTTGTCGACCACCCAGGTAAACCTCATCCCAAGCTCTTCGCTGAATCCACCAACACTGCTCTCCACACTTTAAAGGACTCAAGGTCCATCTTGAAGGCCGTGGGGATACATGTGCCTGCAACCAAACAAAAGCAAGGAAAGGTTTTTAATCAGATTCAGACTCACTTCCTATACACAACTCCAGATACAGTATGGCTACGTCTACACTGGCAGCTTCTTGCGCAAGAAATGTTTTATGGAAGAGTTCTTGCGCAAAAAGTCTTCCACAAGAGCACATCTACATTGGCATGTGCTTTTGCGCAAGAGCATCCATGGCAGTGTGGACGCTCTCTTCCACAAGAAAGCTCTGATGGCCATTTTAACCATAGGGGCTTCTTGCGCAAGAAATTCATGTTGCCTGTCTACACTGCCCTCTTGTGGAAGAGCTCTTGCTCAAGAGGGCTTATTCCTCATGGGGAGAGGAATAACTCTTCCAGAAGAAGCCCTGTTTTACAACGCTATACTGTAAATTTACTTGCTCAAGAACGCACGTGCAGTGTAGACAGCAGGCAAGTTTTTGCGCAAGAATGTCTGTTCTTGCGGAAGAAGCTGCCAGCGTAGACATAGCCTATGACAACAGGCATTAACAGCACTAGATCAGACCCAAGCAACCGGTGGAACAATTTTCCAGTTTCCAGCCCCTGTCCCTCTTCAGGGACCCATCTCATGAGGCTACCCATGATAACTGAACCATCTCTTGCAACTCAGTGCAATAGAAGATGAGCTTCAACAACAGGGGGGCTGGGTTTTACTTACATTATGTCCTCTTGAGTAAGAAAATGGGGATGGAGAACCATTCTGGACTTAAATAAGCTGAAAAATTCATTCAAGCACAGCTTTTCAAGATGGTGATTCCTGCCATCATAATTCATGCACTGGAAAAGGGAGAGATTGGCTATCGACCCTCAATCTCCAAGATGCATATTTTCATATCACAACACACCCGTGTACAGATGCTGATTTGCCATCGTCAATTATCACTTCCAGTACAGAGTCCTTCCTTTTGGCCTTTCTCCTGCCTTTCCTCTCCTCACCCCCCATCTTCTCCAAGGTTCTTGCAGTAGTGGCCACACAGCTGTGCAGATTGGGAATTGTTATATTGCCCTACTTGAATAATTGCCTGCTGAAATGATCATCCTACCATCAGACCGCACAAGAAGTTACCTTTATCATGACCCTCTTCAGCAATGTTGGCCTACAGCTCAACCACCAAAAGTGCACACTAAAACCAATGCAACAACTCGATTTTTATTAAAGCATACCTAGACTGCATCATACCCACAGCATCACTCCCTCATCAGAGGTTCCTGGCACTTTTGTAACTAATCTCAGCAGCACAGAACAGACTACAAACCATGGCCTAAGTGTGCCTACTAGGCCATATGGCAGAAGCCACATATGTGGTCTGACGTATGTGGTCCATTACAGGCTTGGCTAAGATAAGTGTACAGAGTGCATTGCCATCACATCAACAAAGGTTTGACTGTACCAATCAAAATGTCACTATCTTGGTGGACAAACCCAGCCAATGCCTGTAGAAGAGTTCCTTTCTAATGCAACCAACCATTCATAATGATTACTACAGATGCTTCTCTTATCAGTGGGGAGCTCACCTGTACCATCACAGGGAGTCCAAACTTCATATAAATGTCCAAGAGCTGCAGGCTGTCTGCGCATGTCTACACTTTCTGCCTCTCATCTGCAACAGGATAGCTCACTTTTTGTAGACAATCTCACAATGATGTACTACATCAGCCATTGGGGCAGAGCCCATTATTACCCCTTGTGTACAGTAGTTGTTCAACTCTGGGAATGGTGCTCATCAGTTACTGTGCACACTTACATGCAGCTCCTTCTCCCCTCCTCCCCATCCCACACTGCTATCTCTGTATCAGTGGCAGCAGTGTGAGGAGGGAGAGCAGGTAGGATTCGATGTGCGCAGGGAGCTATCCCTCTTCCCGGCCCCTTTGCTCCCTTCCCTCCCCCCCCCCCCCCCCCGGTGGCATATAAAAGTGTAACTACTGAATTTTTCAGTGGTTACACATTTACTTGAATTAACATCCCCAGTTAGAAGTACTAGATTGTGGCAAACCCTGGATACACTTTCTGTTGTGTATTGTGCATAGGAAAGTTAAGTCCATTTCCCTAACATCTGTGTTTCTGCGCTTTATTTTGGGGTACGTTTATTAAGATCCAAATAAGAAATTTGTAACTTGAGCTCATCTTTGATTCTAACTTAGAATAGAATTCTTTCCTCTAGCTGTATTTTGTATGAGATGAATTGGTTTTCCAATATCAAGGTACTCTTTCAAGCTCAGGTGACATCTGGTTTTGGACAGAGTATCCTTGCGCATTTAATTGGAACTGTTCACAGACATTTGAAGGTTCCAGGAGCACAAAATATAATAGAAATTTTACTTTAGTCATTGCTGCTTGCCCCAGGAAGTGTATAGCTAGTGAGTCTGAAAGTTTGTTTTAGTAGTCTTAGATGTTCAGTCTAATGCATCTTGGCATTTTTGAACAAAGAATGACAGTAGTGCTCATTTTGTGTTGAACTGTGTGATGAGAGATTCCTTCCAGGGAAAATAATATCTGTGACCTCAGACAAATTAGACCTGAGCTTTTAAAAGTGAAAGTTGACTTATAAACTACTATAGGAGACATCCTACCTCCCACTGAACCAGGAAGATACCACAGGGACACAATGCCTCCTCTTAATATCCTCAGATACTTCAGGAATGGGGTCAGAGGCCATGCCTTGTACACAGCAGGGCTCAAATTTAGCCCCAAGAGTACAGAGGTAAAGACCAAAAGATTATAGTTATAACTTACCATTTGTATAACAGTCAGATCTAGTGCACTTTCTAAATGTCACCAAGCTCACTGAAATCTTTGCCTCCCTCCACCCCATTATGAAAATAGCTTAACCTTTATTGTACAATTCCTTGGAGAACTGAAATAAATAAGAAGTTGGAGGCTTACGTGGTCCTCCCTCCAGCATTTAAAGTTAATCCATATTTGGTGTATGACAAACAGGGCTACAAAGAGCACCGTTTCTATAAACACTGCCCTTCTTTCTTCAGCTTTTGGTGTTAACATTCAAGTTATATAATCCCTGAATTTCCTTCCCCAACCCCTCCTCTCTTTAAGGATCCATTTGCTTTGCAAACATGGCTATTGCTATGCTGGAACCAGCATTGCCCATCTGGATGATGGAGACCATGTGTTCAAGAAAATGGCAACTTGGTAAAGTACAATGAAATATATTTTATTTTAGTCTAGTATATTGTAGCATGAGTGGTTTTGTTAGCAGTGGTCTCCTGAGGTGCTTTGATGATAGACAGCAAGACTATCATTTCTGTCAGAAGGCTTTTGTTCAACATCGTATTCAGTTGTGTGATTACACCTATTTAGTGGCTGTCTGTATGTGAAATAAACACAAGGCAGAATTCTGTATTTAAAATAATTTCAATGGATAAGAGATTTTTTTATTAAAGCATTTTAAATGTTTATCCATTTAAGATATGGGAAATTATGGAGGGTCAGAATTATTTAGTGAGTAGATGTTGAGATTAAAAAAGTTAAAGATTTATAATGATTAAAGTACAATCTGTCAACATATGTTGAAGTCTCACCCTTACATAACACAACATTTTTCTTACCTGTAAATTTTGGTTATCATTGATAGGAATACTTTTTCATCAGTTTGTGTGTATACAGTGAAATCAATGTTTATTAACAGTTATCAATAAAAACTTAATCCTTATCTATATATCATCATGATGGAATAGTGTGCCAGCTCTCATGATTTCAGTATGAGCGTTGCAATATTTGAGGTTTGATTTCAAGCCCCAGCTCGTGAATACCAGTGAGTATAAAAAATATTCAACTTTCATTTCAAAAATATTTTTGGCTCTTGTAGTTACAGAGAAAAGTATGAAAATATGACCCAAGTGTACCATAAATGCTCAAAACCTAGAAAACAAAAAGAACCCCAAGATTATTGTATTAACATCTCATGATTTAAGCCAATAATGATGGTGAGGGGTGGGATTTCCATTCATTGTTTTGATGGTTGGGACTGGCAGTACTATATAAGCAGCTGTGCTATATATAGTACTCACACATCCTAGAATTGCCAGTTTATAGCAGTAATGCTGAGGGAGCTCTAGGCGTTTGTTAAAATTCTGCACCCAAATTGGAGGGCGAGTTGGGAGGATTTCTCCGAGTCTGAAGATTTTCATCTTTTTTTATTACTATTAAATCATAGATCTTCTCCACGGCACTCCTGATATTTCTTAAGATCAGGTAAAACCCCAGCTCTGCTGACATCAATGGGAATTTTATAATTGAGATCATTGGGGCCAGGATTTCACCCCCAAGCTCTTTTATTTTATTTAAATTATTTCAGTGGAATTGTATTAGGAGGAAATTAGCTACAGTATATGGACTGATTTACCTATTCATTTATCTGGGCTAGTTTGCTTTCTAGAGAGCATGCTGTGTTTGACAGTTGTTTATATGTCTGTGAAGGTGAAATGATTAGTTAGATTCTCTTTTCACATCGTTGAAAGTCAGGAGTTGTTTGTTGGACCAGATCTATTCAGGGAGGGGAAATACTGTAGAAGGAGAGAATGTATGCAGGGGCTATTTTAGAAAGATGCGCAAGCATATGCATGTAGCAGGTGGTGGAAACTGGCTAGTGCATCTGATTACTTTGTGATGCTCCAGAGTGGGGTAATGCAGTCAAAGTTTACAGCTTAATCTGATCTATTAAATTACCATTTTAAGAAGTTGAAAGTACATATCTTCACATTCTTTGAGTTATCACATAGTAACATTCTTTGTTTCTCCTTTAGTGTTAATATGTGACATTTTAATTAAAAAAGGAAATTTTCTAGTCAAACTTTGTTTTAACGATAGTGAACACAGAGCTCATTGCAGTAGCTGAAGTATAACATAGAAGGGCATGTTGTAATTACCCCAAATACTATTATCTATAAACAATACTATTCACTCATAACCATATAAACGTAAGTCATCACCACAGATGACATGCAAACTTTAGTTCTAAAAAAAGCACTCTCAGGAAGCAACAATGGAATTAGGCATCAATAATTGAGATTGCCAAATCATCAACCATGATAAAGAGTACTATATTGTAATGTGAGAGCATTAATTTATAAGAATAGAGATTTTTAAAGCCTCCCTTACAAAAGAAAACAGACTGTATCCAGTGGAGTGTTGCTTGTTTATCTGCCTCCCTCAACCAAAACCACTATTATTGATGTGAAGGGTTAAGAACTTCCTACTTGAATAAAGGTTGGTTGGAGCAGAATATCCGTTTTAATTAATACTAGTTTTGTTCCCAAATGTTAAAACAGTGGATTCCATCATGCTTTGTCTTTGTCTGATTTAATGGCATTCACACCTGAAAGTATTTAAAATTTATGTTGAACTGGAGAGTTTAAAAATGATAAATTTTATATGATTTAGAGTCTAGTTGTTTGAAGAATAATCTTGCAGTTTCTTCAGAATCCAAGTCAGGATGTTTTATACTCCATAAAACTTAGAAAAGCTGGTCATTCAGTATTTCACTGCATACTCATTGTCTTATATAGGTAACTGTGAATCTTGGCTAAGTTTAATACAATTTTTTTTAACTTTCAAGTTCTCCTATAGTAAGTAGAATTATGTATAAATTCAGCTCACAACAGGACTACGGTAATGCTATCCATTTATTATACATAAAAATAGCATGCTTTTTCATTGTAAACAGGGTGGAGGGATTAATCATAAGATGTTGCTGCTACTAAAATTCTCTAAATTGTGTTTATGAACACCAGAGAGAATGATACAGGCAAGAAAATATATGCTGTCTCCAGAGAAGAGGTAGTGTTGTATGTTACGGGAATTACCTGAACACATTCCACTCTGATTTATTTGACTGTGAAGTGATTGACTAGAATGCTAGGCATGGCCTGCATTGAGTTATCAGGCTAGTAATATGCTTGTCAATTTGGTTGCAAAAGAAGTAAACACAACAATAACTTCACAGCAACAGTTCTGCATTCCTCTGTTATGTGGAAGTTAGAAGTAACATCAGGAAATAAAAGAGAATTCACCCTGGCGGAGGACCAAGAACAAAAAAAGCAGTGAATGTATCTGGGGAAATTGTAGCTATCCTATGGGAGAAAGAAACCCGAAAAGCAGTAATATCAAGAGACACCTAGATGTGACAGTAAAGAGCAATGAAATACCAATTTATTATATGAAGGTCATATGTAAAGCCCAGTATGATTTTTTTGGGATGCTTACTCTGACTCATAGGGCAGAGTCAGGCCATGGTGAGATTGCATTGGAATAAGACCATCTGGTTTTAGTTCTTCTTTATTCGGAACATATAAAGAAATGGTAGAGAGCTTCTAGAATAATCAGGAGTGATAGAATTGCTTCAGTCCAACTATTCTTTCCTAAGTGGCCTTTGACAGTTACTAGGTCTTCTATCTCACCTATATACAGCTATTTGAAGAATGTTTAAATGCCAGAACAAACAAAGGATAGAAAGGAATTACTAAGCCTTGTACAAAGGGGCAAAACTAGACTGAGATAGAATTATCTCATTCAGCTTCTGGCTGAATATTAGAAATAATCTTCATAGTTAAATTGATTAACCTCTGCTATTACCTTTTAAAGAAAATGTTGGACGCCCTTTGCTTGTATATCTATGAATGCATAAGATACTAGTAAGTAGTTATTGCCTCTTGTATATGGAAGGTTGCCCCTGAACAAATTCATGAAGTACAATAGGCTCTCCTCCTGTAGGTCCTTTCTTAAGAACCTTTGCTGTGAGCTCTACAAGGAATCAGACAATTAATATTAGTCTTAAGAGTGCAGTGTTGGGGCAGTTGGCATTAAATGTTAGTTTATATTTTAAAAATTAATGAATAGGAACCAAGAAGTTGTGTGCAGAGTTTATCTAAGTAACAGCATGACTGTTATACTGTTAGCCCTGTCCCCTCTCTCTCTTTCCCTTTTCTTGTTTAACACATAACTAGTGTGTATTAACTGGAGCCTGATTTCTGGAATCAGCTCCACGAGTGGTGAATCCCAAGCCCAAGAGGCATGCAGGGCATGTTCAGACCCTTAAAATGTAAATTCTTTAGGGTGCGGGACTATTTTTTTTCTATGCCAAAAGTCCTCAACTGTGGGGACTGCCCCTCTATGGGAACATTGAGGAACATTCATGGGGTGCATGGTGTGTCCAGGCCAGCCCCCAGAGGGTGGTATGAAGTAAATGCCATCCAGACCTGTTCCACCCTCTAGCTCTGCTCAAACCCAAGTTCTGTACTCTCACTTGTCTCTCAGTTTCTAAATGAGATAGGGATCTGGATAAAGATGAGCTGGTTATCACTCAGCCTGGGTAAGATGCAAGTAATATGCTCTGGAATAGATACTTCCCTATTCCAACAAGCGTTTCTTGGCCAATGAGTCACAATAGACAAACTGAGGGGTTGTGACTCACTGAAAATTTTGTCATAATCTAAAGCAAAGAAAAATCTCACTTTGCCAATTCCTGCACACTCTTGCCCAGCACATATTTTCTGTCAGCATCTCAAAACACATCTTACATAGGTGTATAATAACTGATATATTCATTATAAAACTAAGTAAAAATATTCCCACGCCTTTGAACAATGTGCACCCTTCCCTGCACTTCCTAGCAGTGAAGGACAGCTCTAGTTCCTGTTCCTGGAATGAGATCTGTATGTTTTATGTTATTTGAGGGGCTGTGTGCATGGGGCAATGATGCAGCAATTTTTTACCTCCATCCCGCTCATCCACTCAACTCTCTAAGTACCAAGGACAATCTCCCCTAAATGTCATCTTACTCATTCCACTTTATCCCTGAATTTATGATAGAAATGTTACCAGAATATTGTGGTTAAAATATAGGCTTAAGCTTAAACATGCCTAAGAAACTCAAAGACAGTGTACGAAAAGGCAGTTAGGTCTCTAAACCATTCTAAATTTTATTGTCATAGTAATGTCTTGGGGAGGCCAGCCACTAAGAAGTACAGCAACTCTGGCATTTGTCTGCATGCTTCAGAAAAAGATACTGTGCAAGTGTCCATTTAGGGGAACATCATTCTCACTCTCATTCACAAAGGTGCTACTTGTCATGAGCAATAAGAGTACCATTAGATACAGACCGAGTATATCTACCTACACAAGCCCCTTAGGCTGACAGCATGACATGAAGAACAAATGTCACAGCACACTACCCTATCTTGTGCTACTTCTCCCTTGTGCAAAGAGTGGACAAAGAAGGGTGAAGCTGAGTTGATGCAGAAGGGGAAGAAATCTACTTTTAAGAGTCAGCAGAAGATTACTCTGCCCCCTTTCCCTGAATCTCAGCCTCAGAGAACTGGCTTGTAGGCTGTTCTTGGAAAAGGGCAGTGGCACACCATGCCTTAGGTTTCGAATGGAGGTGGGGAACCCTTTTTGGGTTGGGGGCTGCTGACCCACAGAAAATCAGTTGGGGGCTGCCCAAAAATTAGAAGGTGTGAAAATCCTCACTGATGGGCTTGGACTGTAGGGTCTGGAAGCAAGAGAGGAAAGGAGGGAGAGTGTAGGAGTGGTTTGGGGGTAGAAGGGGTAGATGCAGGAGTGGTCTGGGTTTGGGAGGCTGGGTGGGAGGAGCAGTGCAGGAACAGGTGCGGGGTCTGGCTGATGAGGGGAGCTTAGTTGGCGCAGCTCCCTGGAATGCACATGGCTCTGCGTCCCCTGCTGCTTCCAGGCACTGCCTGCTGCTGATACTATGGCCAATTGAAGCGGCACAGGAAAAACCTCCAGGCAGTGCTTTGCTGCACTGCTGATTCTTCCCCAGTTGGGGGGAGAGAGAGCAGCAGCACATGGAACTACTGCCTTTCCCCACCAGGCAGAGCCTTTGGGCTGGATCTGACCCTGGCTTGTTTGACTCCAGCCTTCCAGGCTTGCCTCACACCCCACAGGGAGAGCCCATGCTGATTCTCCAGCCCCATGGGGAGGTAGGGGTACCCCTGAGCTTCTGAGGCCAGATCCAGGCAAACTGGGGGGCCAAATGTGGCCCCTGGGCCTTACACTCCCCACTCCTCAGATTCCCATCTGAGGAAGTGGGTTTTTGCCCACAAAAGCTCATGATACTAATATATATATAATAGTTAGTCTCTAAGGGTATGCCTACACTACCACCCTAGTTCGAACTAGGGTGGTTAATGTAGTCAATCGAAGTTGCAAATGAAGCCCGGGATTTAAATATCCCGGGCTTCATTTGCATTTTGCTGGGCGCCGCTATTTTTAAATCCCCGGTAGTCCGGACTCCGTGCCTGCGGCTACACGTGGCACGGAGTAGGTAGTTCGAATTATGCTTTCTAATTCGAACTACCATTACACTTCGTTCCATACCCTGAGGTGCTACAGGACTACTTTTTTTTTTAATTACAGACTAACACAACTACCCTCTGAGACTATAAAACATGTCTGGACAAAGTACAGCATATTCTTCATGTGTACTGGAGCCAGAGACTGGAATCACCAGGCACACTTGAATCCCTTAAAGTTCCAGCTCATCCTCTAACAAATTGCTAGTGTAAATTCAAAATTCCATTGCCCTAGTCTGTGAACTGTGCAAGTCTTTTGCCAACAAATCCGTGTAATAGTTTCTGCTCATAAAATACATTTTTAAACATCAGTTTATAAGATATTAACAAAGTAGCTTTGAGAGGAAGAGGTGGGTGTAATTGCAGGGTCAGTGGTAAGAGTGTTTGGTTGACAAACTGCAAATTACTTTAAATGACTCAGATGATTAATTTTCTTTCTTATACAGTATTAGCTTTCTAAATTATTATTTTTTAAAAACAGGAGAGCTCTCAAGATTTTTTTTTAACTTTTTCTATTACTGAGATATACTCTTAACTTTTGTCTGCCTAACAAAGGACTAGGTTTTGGCATTATGATATCATCTCCAGAAAGGGGTATTTTTTTGCACTGCTCCTGAGGAGTGATATGCAAAATGGGCCTTGATTTGGCTCAAAGTTTATTGTGAATATAATTTTGCTCTCTCACGTATACAGAGATTCTAATAGCTGATACTAAAAGACTCTTTTTCAAGGTGTCACAATGGTATTGCAGTTGATGGATAATCTTGTTAGATTCTATGAAAGGGCTGAAACAAACCGGATATTTAATGCTTTGATCCAGGCTCCAGGATTCCATTAGATTGTTCTAATCACAGTTGCTGTGTCAGAACTTATTAGTTTTTCTAACATTTCCCTGAAATCATTGTTGATAAAATGTTTTTTTCATATTTTGCAGGCGTTGCTTTCATTCCAGCTAGTGTCTCTTATCTTATTGGAACTAATATTTTTGGGGTACTTGCACACAAAATGGGAAGGTATGCTTAATTAAAAAACCACAGTCCTTCAACATATTCCGATAGCATTTTCAGTTTCTCCTCAGGCAATTGCTTGATAATTAAAATCATAAGATTTTATTAGATGTTGTTAACCTGAATATTTCATTTAAAAAAATCATATTATGTATTTGGTTACCTAACCCTGCTCTACTATCTTAGAAATAGCATTGAAAAATTCCAGAATATCTAACAAATCTGCATTTGTTTCTTGTGTAAGAGGTAACCGTATCTCTTTTGCTAGGTGGCTTTGTGCTCTAAGTGGGATGATAATCGTTGGAATAAGCATTTTATGTGTGAGTAAAAGCTGACATGTGAGCAGAATGAACTACACATTCAACTTAAAAATGTATATATTAACTTTGAGTATGTATTTTGTTTATGAGATTTTATTCAAGTTTCTGCTTGTAAAATACATTTTTAAACATCAATTTGTGAATAAGCTTTAGGGCCCAATCCTGAGCGCAGTCTACTCACATTGCTTTTTAGACAGTGTTGATCATGTTGCAGGGAGGTGATCAATGAGTTGAAGAATAGGAACTATAATTTTTTAGTTATCTCCTAATCAACAGCCTACTATTATATGCTGTAATTAAATGCAATAAGTATTTAATGACATAAACATGCAAAATAATTACAAATGTTGTATTTCTGTACAAACTGCTCCATACAGCCTTACTAAACAGTTAATTGTTTTGAGGATTTATTTGCAAAAAAGTCAACGATTCCATTAGCAAGATGTAATGGGACACACTTATCGGTAACTCTCTGAAACTTAATTTGCAGGTACCATTTGCCAAAAACATATATGGGCTCATAGCACCAAATTTTGGGGTTGGGTTTGCCATTGGTAAGTAACATTACCTATCTGTACATATTTTGCTGTTTATTTAGAAAAAGAACATTACCAAAGAATTACATTAATGCTTCTTTTTGTTGCCTGCCATTCTGAATGGGTAACACCAAAGGTTATACACTATGGCTCAGGTTTGTCTGTAGACCAGCAGTAGTTTTAAGGCATATACTATAGGGCTACGTCTAGACTGGCATGATTTTCCACAAATGCTTTTAACGGAAAAGTTTTCCGTTAAAAGCATTTGTGGAAAAGAGCGTCTAGATTGGCACGGACGCTTTTCCGCAAAAGCAGCTTTTGCTCAAAAAAGCCCTGATTGCCATTTTTGCGATCGGGGCTTTTTTTGCACAAAACAAATCTGAGCTGTCTACACTGGCCCTTTTATGCAAAAGCTTTTGCGCAAAAGGACTTTTGCCCGAATGGGAGCAGCATAGTATTTCCGCAAGAAGCACTGATTTCTTACATGAGATCATCAGTGTTCTTGCGGAAATTCAAGCAGCCAGTGTAGACAGCTGGCAGTGCTTTTGCAGGAAAAACTTGCCAGTCTAGACACAGCCTAGGGGTTTTAACCTAGACTTTCAGCAATTGGGCTACATGCTGACCTTTGTTATCTGAGAATAACTCCAGTGACCTCAGTGGATCTTTTAATTCTTCCCAGAATTCTGGCAATGCACTGTTAAAAACAAAGCAACCCTCCCCCCGCAGCATTTTAGTATTACCTGATGTTTCACATAGAAGCAAACACTCTTGACTTACTGCTGATCCAGTGTAAATCCCCCAACACACACACATGTCCTTCTGTTATAGTACACATGAATAGGTTTGCTTATAATGTGCCATGTTGTGAAACTCGAGTGGGATGTTTTTAATGATTACAGGGTACAAGAGGTTGACAGATGGCTTAGTAATTTGATATTCAGCAGGTAATCATGAAGTGTCTGTAAATACAAAGGACTTTTAGTAAGTGTAGAAATTACAGTAATATTTATAAACCATAAATATCATGCAGCTTTTGATCTGATAGCTCATGTGGCTTTTGCACTTCACAGTGAAAAAAGCTCGCAAATCATTCATGTTAAGTATAGCATAATAATAACAGACTTGAAACTAGTACAGTGCTTTATGTTCATTGGCATAGGCAAAGATGTATAAGTCTGGATTGAATAGTTTGTTTTCTCTAGGAATATGTTATTAAAAGCATTTTTAATTTACAATTCTAGTTTCATTTACATCTTTTTAGCTCATATGAGGCTGATTTATATTGAGAGAACAATAAAAGCTATTTCATGAAATATAATTTTCTCCTTATCATAATCAGGAATGGTGGATTCTTCAATGATGCCAATTATGGGCTACCTTGTAGATCTGCGTCATGTTTCAGTATATGGGAGTGTGTATGCAATAGCTGATGTTGCCTTCTGCATGGGGTTTGCATTAGGTAAGGGCTCAATTTTCCCTGTTGTTAATGCACCTAATAGAAGTGAAAAGAGATACTATAAAATGGTTTGGAGCAAATATCCAGGTTCTGAAGGCTCTATAAACTTCAAACTGGTGTCATTCCACTTCCATTAGGTTGGTGGGGAACAGAATGTTGACAAACTGTGGCTATTCCATACCCTCTGTATGACATGGTGCTGCACTCTGCATAAGCTGAATCAGTGTTGACTAGGGTGTTTGGGAAAGGGCAGGTGCTAGTTAGGTCCCCAGAATGTGGGCATTTGTAGTACCTGAAGCTAAAGTAGTGGCTTCTCCATTGCTTGCTGGAGAAAAAAAGGATTCCATTGTCTTCTTCTCCGTGCACTGTGCGATGGAACCTTGTGCCTCACCTGTTTACTTAGATGTGATGGAAAAACAGTGCACTAGAGTTCTGATGCAAATACCCATTAAAACAATATACGATCTCCAGTTACTTTAGTCACTGTAAGATTGGCACACAAGAGCATATTCTACTTTAATATGAATTTTTAGATCATGAATTTTGTATTTAAAAGTATTGTTGTCCCAAATGCTTACTCTACATATTTTACAGTATTTAGAAAGAGCTTTTTACTTCCAAAAGGTCCCTCTGTTGGTGGTGCCATTGCCAAGGCAATTGGATTTCCATGGCTCATGACAATTATAGGGATTGTGGATATTCTCTTTGCTCCTCTGTGTTTTTTCCTTCGAAGTCCACCTGCCAAAGAAGAAAAAATGGTAAGCAGACAATCTTATTTTGCAGTAAAATGAACAATGTCTTATTTATACTTCTCTAGCACTAATTATTCAGAAAACCAAAGGACCTAGGAATCTTCTGCCATTTTTGCCCCATCTCCCGGAGTAGTAACTCTATGGAACTGGTACTGTATTTCTTGAGCCTCTCAATAGCATTTTAAAATTCCTCTCCATGTGTGTTTTTGCGCCATTTCTTTAACTCAGAGCAATGAGGGCCCAGAAGTTGTTCTCTAACTGTGTAATGGCTGTGTGGAAACCACAAATTCAGGTTTGCTCCTAACTCTGGAAAAGTGTTTTGTTGAGGTTCACCAAGTCCATGTTTATTATGGCTTATTCCTCTGTCATGAATACTAGGGCTACATCTAGACTGGCCCCTAATTCCGGAAAAGTCATGCAAAGCAGGTAAGTCAGAATAGGGAAATCCGCGGGGGATTTAAATATCCCCCGCGGGATTTAAATAAACATGTCCGCCGCTTTTTTTCCGGCTGGGGGAAAAGCCGGAAAAAAGCGTCTAGACTGGCGCGAGCCTCCGGAATAAAGCCCTTTTCCGGAGGATCGCGCCAGTCTAGACGCTTTTTTCCGGCTTGGGGAAAAGCCGGAAAAAAGCGTCTAGACTGGCGCGAGCCTCCGGAATAAAGCCCTTTTCCGGAGGATCGCGCCAGTCTAGACGCTTTTTTCCGGCTTGGGGAAAAGCCGGAAAAAAGCGTCTAGACTGGCGCGAGCCTCCGGAATAAAGCCCTTTTCCGGAGGATCGCGCCAGTCTAGACGCTTTTTTCCGGCTTGGGGAAAAGCCGGAAAAAAAGCGGCGGACATGTTTATTTAAATCCCGCGGGGGATATTTAAATCCCCCGCGGATTTCCCTATTCTGACTTACCTGCTTTGCATGACTTTTCCGGAATTAGGGGCCAGTCTAGACGTAGCCTAGGGGATAGGTGCCTAGGGATAGGTGCTGAAACTAGGACTGCAGAAGGTGCTGCAGCACCCGCAGACTTGAAGTGGTTTCCATTTTATGCGGGGTTTACAATTTGGGTCAATGTGTCTTGGCACCCCCACTATAAAAATTGTTCCAAAACCCTGACTACTGTTGGGCATGTCTATACTGTAGCAAAAACCCAGTGCCAGCTGACTCAGGATCATGGGAATGTTTAATTGTGGTGTAGACATTCAGGCTTGGGCTGAAGACTAGGTTCCAGGACAGTGGTTACCAACCAGTTGATCATGATCGACCGGTTGATCACAGAGGCACTGCCAGTCAATCTCGATGCAGTGTTCCCCACCCTTCCTCTCCCCTCCACCCGCAACAAGGAGCCCGCACTGCTCCTACAGCCTCCTGCCCCTCGCAAAATTGGAGTGAAAGCTGGCTTCTCATGGCAGAGGATGGGGGTGGGGAGAAGTCCCACAGCTCCGCACCAGATCCGGCTTCTCAGGAAATGCACGCTGCCCACAGCAACACCCGCAATTTCTTGTCTTGTTTTGCCTTCCTTCACCTGTGCACCAGGGAGGCAGGGTTGGGTGGGCAGGGGAGGGTTGACATGACAGTGGAGGATCTGGAGTGGCTGGATTTCTTAATGGAGCTGCACATGTGTGTCTTCCAACGCTGCCTGCAGATCCTTCTCAAGAGATACTTGTCCCTGGAGATCCCCAGGTACCTGTCAAAACTGCCTCTGGCCCCTCTCCTGGCCAGACACCCACCAGCACCCTGTCCCTGTTCCCTCTTCCCTGGCCAGACACCTACCCCCAGCTTGCTCCTGTACCCTACTGTACCACCATGCCTATCCCACTCACTGGCAGCTCTGTCCTGCACACTGGATCCCTCATTTTGGCCTGGGGTGGGGCAAAAAATCCACTAACCTTGGAACCCCAGAAGAGTTAATCTGGCCTGTGGCCTTCAACCTCAGTCCTACCTACCCTCCTTCCTCACTGTGGAGCTGGAGTGCCAGGGGAGTGAGATGTCTTAGTTGGTGCCACATCAGTGAGGGTTGGTTTTTTTTTTAGAGGGGTTGGTTTTTTGCATCTCACTTGTGTGGTCCCGGACTGATTTTTTGCGTGTCAGTGGCCTCCTGGCCCAAAAAATGTTCCCCGCCCTTTTCATAAACAAAGACCATGTTGAAATGATTTGTGTTGGACATAATTTTTATTTAAAAATGAAGCGTAACCAACATGGCCCCTGTTGAAGCCAAGTCCCCATCTGGCTGCAGCATCATAACACTCCTGCACCCCCCACTCACCCCAACCTGGAGCCCATCATACACCTGAACCTCCTGCCCTAAGCCCTCCACATCCCCAGTCTTGTGCCACAACACTCCTGCACCATCCACACACCACAAACCTGTGCCCTGGGGCCATCATATACCCAACCCCTGTGCCCCTCATACACCCCAACCCAAGCTGCTGCACCCTGATATCCACAAGTCTGCAGCTTTCTCAGCACCCCAACCCTCCATCTGACCCACACTCTCCAGCCTGGAGCCTCCTCCCTGAGCCAGTATCTCCTTCTCCACCTCCCCTTGCACCCAAATTCCCTCCCAGAGCTTGCGCCTCTCACCCCTTCCCACTCCCAAATCTCTCATTCCCACCTCAGATCCCGCACCTCCTGTCTCAACCCGGTGAGAGTGAGTAGGGCTGGGGACAGAAAGGCTACATCTACACTGCAGGGATTTTGCGCAAGAAGTCTTGCAGAAGAGTTCTTGTGCAAAAACTTCTTGCGCAAAAGCGCGTCCACACCTCAAAGTGCTTCACTAAAGGTGTATGCTCTTGCACAAGAAAGCTCTGATGTCCATTCACAGAATGGCCATAAGAGCACCTGTGCTTTTTTGGATAGGCTCTTTTTGTGCAAGAAACCTCTGCGGAGTGTCCACACTTGCCTTTTTGCAAAAGAGCTGTAGCGCAAAAAGAAGTTATGCCTCATAGAAGGAGGCATTCCTACACACAAAAAGTTCTCTATTCTGTTGATTGACTGTAGATTTTCTTGCACAAAAACATGCTTGAGATGTGGACGCTCATGGGTTTTTGTGTAAAAATGGCTATTTTTGCACAAAAACCTTGTAGTGTAAACATAGCCCAAGTGATGGAGAGGAGGGGAATGGAGTGCACAGGGCTTCAAGGAAGGGGCGGGGTCCTGGGGAAGGGATGGGGTAGATCTTGGCTTTCCCTGACATTTGAAATGATCTTGGGTGTGTAAAAGTTGGAGGCCACTGCTCTAGGCCCATCAGAGATAGGCGCATCCCAGAGCTTAAGCTACAGCTGGAACACAAATGTGTACATTCTAATTAAACAGCCCCTGACCTGAGCCTGAATCAGCTGGCATGGGCCAGCCAAATGGATCTAATTGAAATATATACATACCCTTTAAAATATCCTTTAACCATGTATTCCTCCTTTTTGCAGCACCTCTATCCTTACAAGTTAATTGGTCCGCTTCCTGTCTGTAGCCACAGGCCTTCTCTTGTTTCCTTTCGTTTCTTTTTGTTCACATTATCATACGCCTTAATCTTATCATGAACATTATCGTCAGACTTCTGTTTGCTTGCAGCGTAGCTTTTTGTAAGGCAGTTGATGCTGGTTTCCTTCCTGCCCTCTTGTTCACCTAGTTCTTTCACTGCTCTCCTGTTCTTCTTGCCCTCCACAGCTCTCCTTCCTTCACTGAAATTTGTGGCGTCTCCCTTCCCTTCATATCTCCCTCTCCTATTGCGCCGCATCCTGCCATCTCCTTTCTTCAGTCACATACTTTTCCTTCGCTTAGTCTCAGCCTGAAGATTCCCTTACCATTGGAGCTGATGTACTGCTCTGCTCTTATGCCTCTTCCAGCTATGTGCCAAGAGGCTGGGAAGATGCGGCTGTCTGACTACCATAGGAGTCATAATACAGGCCCATCATCAGGTTGAGTATGGCTAGAACAATGTAGAACAACCAGTATTCTGGTCCCAACACCCAAACAATGCTGCAAACACAGTACAGTACTAGCTATAACATCTTTCCAAGATCCATGGAACTGCAGGTATAGCCTAATACTTCCTCCTAGGGGACCTGGGTCCTTCCCAAGTTGGAAGAACACTGGCTCTCACCCAAGGGTTTTGTACTCCTTAAGTAAGCCAGGTGCAGTCACTTTTGCACTTAGGATAGCAAAAAAGTAAATATACATGGGCCTGTGTGTTCTAAGTGCAGTGGCATCTCTCTGGAAGGTAAGAATTAAACTGCCTGACTCACATTTAGTACAGGCAGAATAGAAAATGAAATGAAATACTTGTAGAAAATCTGCCAACTGTTGATTGAGTAAACAGTCTGAAGGTGGTTCCCAAGAGATTTCTACTGACTGCTTGTCATGACCTTTTTAGGCTGCAACCATAATTTTGTACAGTAATTGTGGTAGGAAGAGGGGATGAGAAATAAATTAGAACTACCGTTGTTTGCCAGAGATATGAACTTTGCCAAATGAGCTCTTTAGCTTTACTTCAGCCTTTGCTATATACAGATGCTTGTGTCTTGGAAAATGTTTGAAAGGCAGTAGAAGATTTGATGAGAGGCAACATAAGATGGACGTTTCCTATTAAAAAGGGAGCCAGCTAAGAGGAGAAAATTCAGACACTTCAAGAGCAGGAGAGCCTGGCTACAACTATGAAAAAAACCAAACACCCAGCATTGCCCAAAAGGGACCTGAGGAAGGAAGAATAAGCTAGGAGCCAGAGGAGTATGCAGTTTGGAGAAAGAAGTATACTTGGTGAAAGTGATTCAGTTCAGAAAACTGGATAAAGTTTAATTGTTGGAGGGTATCAATGAAGGTTATAACCTCTGGAGTAGTTAGAGCAGGAGGACAATTGCCCATGTTAGTGGTGTTAGGTTCATTTAAACTTACTGAGGTGTATTTTTTTTTTTATAAAACATGGATTATTCATCCCATAAAATGACATTCTTCATATAATCCAGGATAGATACAAATTTTTAGTTTAGTTGATGTTAAACTGAAAACCACACTGAAGAAAAATGAAAACTGAATTAAAGCATAACATACACAAGCAGCACTTTTCTTCTCTCTGGTCCCATTTCTCTTTTATTCTTCTCCACTGACCGATCTGCTAACATCAAAAGGGGCATCTTACAATGTGGTTGAAAAATTCAAGACTAATGACGATATATGGTATGACACCATCTTTTTCCATTGAAAGTCTGATATTTAAAGCACTCATAATAAAATGGAAAACGTAGCTACTACATCCACTAATATTCAGTAGAACGGGGATTTGGCATTCAGTTCTGTTTTTGTGAACTCATAATGACCCTGAGCACGCATGTAGATGACAGACTGAGCTGTGAATGAACTATACCCGGCAATGTGCAAACCCAAGAAAAAAACAACTATTTTTGGGAGCAAAACATTCACTGAACCTTTCAAAAATATATTGTGTAATTTCTAATTCAACAGAGGGAGCCTTTTAATACTGTATCTGGCAAGACATTCTTAGAGCTATATTTATCTAGTTTGATATACAAAGTCTTTCCAAAAGTCTGGTTAAAAAAATCTCAGGGATAACAGCAGCAGCTGAATCAGGACCAGAGCAGCTGGGGTGCTGCTCTGCCCCAGGCATCCTGATTTAGCCGCTGCTGAAACTGACCAGCGCTGACTACAGGAAGCCCGAGGCAGAGTTGCTCTGCCCCTGGCTTCCTGGAATCAGCTGCTGATCAGTTTCAGCAGCAGCTGACTTGGGGACGCTTGGGGTTCTTAAGTTGATTCTGTATGTAAGTCAGAACTGGCGGTCAGTTTCAGCAGCGGCTGAATCTGGACGCCAGTTCTGACTTGCATACAGATTCAACTTAAGAACAAACCTACAGTCCCTATCTTGTACGTAACCCGGGGACTGCCTGTATTTTTTTGTCAGTAAGTAGCTGTATTGAAATCATAAGCCAATTACAGCATCCTTGCTAGGACTGTTTGTTATCCTGGGGCAAGAACAGTATATACAGGGAAAACATTATTCATTTATGAGTGCTTGAAGCTAGTTTTTATCTGCCCGTAGTGCAGGTGAACTAAAAAAATGTATCCCACTGCGAAGACAACAAGCTTAGTTTCAGCTGTCATGTTATGGGTAAAAGACCACTTTTGGATTGGAGCAGTTCTCACAGAACTATTTATTCTGATGCAAAAAATTCAGAATCCCTTAGTCTCAAAAGTCTTAAGTAATATGGGTGTGTTTACACGCATGCATTTGCAACTATTGCTGTTTTGCAGTTCTGGGGAGAGAAATAATCTATTAAAATCTAGGGGACGTCTGCCCCCTGACTTTAGCAAGACCTGGATTTCACTATGATGTATAAGATCTTCAATTATATATTTATGCAGCACCTTGATGGCCTAATCTTGATTGGGGCCTATAAGTGCTACCATAATTCAAATAACTTCATAGTTCACTATTCTCATTTTAAGTAACTTCTTTGCATGTCACTGGCACTGCTCTGCTTTCAATTCTAATGAAAAGGACAAAGGGAGATTTCCTCCTTTATTCACTTTGCATGATTAATAAAAAGCCATAAGCTATCAATAGAATATGATGTCAGAGGTTCGTAATTGGCTGACCTGCCACTGAAGTAACTGGATTTTTATATTTGTTGTTTGAATTTTTATATATTAGCATTAAATAAACAGACCGCCAAACCCTGTTCTCACAGTCGTAAGAACAGCCATACTGGGTCAGAACAAAGGTTCATCTAGCCTGGTATCCTGTCTGCCAACAGTGGTCAATACCAGATGCCCCAGAGGGAGAGATCACAACACGTAATCCTCACATGATCCCTCCCCTGTCACCCACTTTCAGAGAAACAGAGGCTAGGGATACCATTCCTACCCATGTTGGCTAATAGGTTCATAGAGGTCAGGTCCATCAATAGTTGTCTCGCTCTTTTTTGAATCCTATTAAAAGTTCTAGCCTTCTCCACCTCCTCTGGCAAGGAGTTCCTCAGGTTGACTGTGCGCTGAGTGAAGAAAAACTTCCTTTTGTTTTAAACCTGCTGCCTATTAATTTCATTTGGTGACTCCTACTTATTTTATTGTGTGAATAAGTAAATAACTTATCCTGGTATGGAAAAAAAAAATTTTTTTCCATACAAGTCATAATTTAATAGACCTCTTTCATATTCCCCCTTAGTTTCTTCTTTTCTACGCTGAAAAGTCCAAGTCTTTTTCAACTCTCTTCATATGGGGCTTGTTCCAAACCCCTAATCATTTTTGTTGTCCATTAATCTTTTTCAATGCCAATATATTTTTTTTGAGATGAGGCTACCACATCTGTACCAGGGCTGGCCCGAGCCATTCATGCGCCCCAGGAGCACGGCCCCACGCCTGGGGCACCGGCGCATGTGCGGTCCCGGCACTGCCCGGTCCGGCAGCCCTGCGCAACAGCCCCTAAAATTGAGCGCCCCGGGCAGTAGTCCGGTCAGCCCGTAACTTGGGCCGGCTCTGATCTGTACATAGTATTTAAGATGTAAATACCATAGTTTTATATAGAGGCAATAAGAAATTTTCTGTCTAATTCTCTATCCCTTTTTTAATGACTCCTAACATTCTATTTGCTTTTTTCACTGCTGCTGCACACTGAGTGGATGTTTTCAGAGAACTATCCCACAATGACTCCAAGGCTTCTCTCTTGAGTAGTTGTAGCCAAATTAGTTCCAATCATATTGTATTTATAATTGGGATTATGTTTTCCAATGTGCATTACTTTACATTTATCAACATTAAATTTCATTTGCCATTTTGTTGCCCAATCACTCAGTTTGGTGAGATCTTTTTGAAGCTCTTCACAGTCTGCATTGGTCTTAACTATCTTGAACAGTTTGGTATCATCTGCAAATTTTGTCACCTCACTGTTTACCCCTTTCTCTAGATCATTTATAAATAAGTTGAACAGGATGGGTCCAAGGATAGAGCCTTAGGGGACCTCACTAGTTACAACTCGGAAAACTGACCATTTATTCCTACCCTTGTTTCTTGTCTTTTAACCAGTTATCAATCCATGATAAGACCTTCTCTCTTATACCATGACAACTTACTTTACCTAAGAGCCTTTGGTGAGGGACCTTGTTCAAAGACTTTCTGGAAATCTAAGCATACTATTTCTACTGGATCCCCCTTTTCCATGTTTCTTGACCCTCCTCAAAGAACTCTAGCAGATTAGTAAGGCATGATTGCCCTTTACAGAAACCATGTTGACTTTCCCCCAACAAACTATATTCATCCATGTGTCTGACAGTTTTATTCTTTACTATTGTTTCAACTAATTTGCCCGGTACTGACGTTAGACTTACCAGTCTGTAATTGCCAGGTCACCTCCAGAGCCTTTTTTAAATATTGGCATCACATTAGCTATCTTCCAATCATTAGGTACAGAAACTGATTTAAAGGATAAGTTATAAACCACAGTTAATAGTGCTGCAATTTCCCATTTGAGTTCTTTCAGAACTCTTGGGTGAATGCCATCCAGTCCCAGTCAAGAGCTGATATTACAGTTGCAATTCATTGGCTCAACTCCAGTTAATAAAACACATATTAGGATACTACAGGGCTTTATTTGGGCTGCCAGTTTCTTTAGTAATTAATCCCCTCTGGTTGGTTAATGGCAGCTGACTAGGATTGTGGAGCTATAGAATTGCAACATAGCATTTGAGCTTGGGCTGGAGCCCAAGCCGTGGGTTCCTCACCTCTCGGAGGGTCACAGAGCTTGGGTTTCAACCCGAGCCCAAACGTCTATACCTTGATTTTACTGCCCCACTGCCTGTGAGCCTGTGTCAGCTGACACAGTCCACCTGCAGGTGTTTAAATGCTGTGCAGATGTACCTTCAGAACAGAATTTGATCCATTGTACAAGAATAGAAGTCTCTGAAACCAGAAAAAAAATTTCTCCATGTGTAGGGGGCAACTGATAACATGATGATCAGTAGCCCTAATGTGGATTATCCACATTGCTTTATGATATCAGAGATGGTGAAACCAAGTGAGCCAGTATAGAACCATTCTTAAAGCAGTGGGATTCTGCTTTATTTTGATTCACATTATTCACAAGTGATGCAAAATGTAGCTGTAAATCTACTATCTGTAACAAACACACATTTCAAATTAGCTACACAGTCCTGGCCCCACTGATGTCTATAGAAGTTTTGTCATTGATTTCAATGTGTGTGTGTGTGTGGGGGGGGGGGGTGTCAGGATTTCACCTGTAATCTTTATGGCCTTGATCCTACATTAACTGAACTCAGTGAAGATTCTGCCACTTACTTTAATGAAAGAAGAATCAGTCCCTAAAACAGTGGCTGAAGCTGTGTGGCTTTTTTGTGGAAAAACAATCAGCTGTAGACATCATTAAAATGTTTAGCAGATATGCTAATATTCATGCTTTGTTTTCTTTTAGGCAATACTCATGGATCATAACTGCTCCCTTAAAACAAAAATGTATACTCAGAACAACATCCAGTCATACCCAGTAGGTGATGAAGAATCCGAAAGTGATGAATAATAAAAAAAGCCATATTGAGTATTTTGGTGTACAAAATGCAGTGATTCCTGTGAAACAGCTCATCCAGAAATATGTTTTAGGTATACCGTACTTTTAATGGTGAAATAGTGAAGAAACCAAAGGTATATTATTTATTTCCCATTATTTTAATGCAGATTGCCAACTGCCTTATAAAGAGAAAATAGCTTTTATAGAGGTTTGTATAGTGTTGAAAACATTATTTTATGTATTTAATTTTATTATACAGTATATTTTTGATTAACTGTGTAGTTAAATATATATAAACATCTGAATCCAAATTATAATTTTTCTAAATTTTATTCAGGGACATTGACATAAGATTTCACAGTGTAGACTCCATAATAAGTTCTTGACAGTAAAATGCTTCTATTATAAATTATTCCTCTTACTAAAAAAGTGAAGTTCAAAGAACATACAACCTATCCAACTCTCAGTTCTTTTAAATTTACTGTGCTCTGAAGTATATCCACAAAAGATAGTCTTATTTCAAGATAGCACTTTATTACCAGTTGCTCAGCTCAGGGTCATACTGTGCCATCAATTTTGGTTTCTTTGCAGAGCTCTCCCAATTCTAAAGGTGAGCTCTCCATAAAATTGATAGTATTGAGACCATATGATAAGAAAATAAACTTTTATTTTTCAAAACAAAAATTTTCAGACATATTGATAACAAAATTAATGTTTTTCTGAAGGATAGGACTACTCTAACTAAAATGATCCTGGCTGGCTTATGCACTAAAGGATATTGTCTCTAGACTTAAAAGAAACTGCCTATTTGCTCTCTCACACAGGCAATACTATGGTTTCCATGAGATGTATGAAGGAATACTGGGTAAACATCAAGTCAAGAACTCACTTTGGTTATATAGGGATGAATCGAGAGGCCATTCTTTGTTAACTATTAATCTAAAATAGCTCTAGGCAACAAAAATAAGTCAATCTGTCCACATACGCATGATCCTCCACCTCATCCTCCGCCCCCCCCCCCACACTTTTGGGGATAACAGTTGTATCAGAGTGAAATTTGGTCCTAACTCTACAGCTGATATAAATACAGATTGTAGATCCACAGAAATCAATGCCAATTTACACCAGGGGCACGTCTATACTAGGAAGTTATTTTGGGAGTTATTTTGAAATAATTATTTTAGAATAACATGTCCCCTCTACAGGGAAGCCTCGAAATTAGTTTGAGGCAGGGTCACTTAATGTGGATGCACTACCTCGACTTAGAGCCCCAGGAAGTACCAGGGAGTAATTACTCTGAATGATTCTGGGGAGTAGTTATTTCAAAATAGTGGTAGTATGGATGCTCCACTGCTGCTATTTCAAAATAACTATTTTGAAATAAGTGTTATTCCTCATGGAAAGCAGGTGTTATTTTGAAATTACCAGTCCCTTATTTCAAAATAACTCCCTGTTATTTTGAAATAACTTCCTAGTGTAGACCAGGGCCAGCTGAGGATCTGTAAATATACAAAAAAACAAAGTTAAGACATTGCCATTACTTTTTTGCCCTGTAACGTGGTCTTAAATAATTAGATATTCTTTGTACTGGGAAAACTGGACACAAGAGTATGATATCTGCTGCTCAAGTTATTTACGTACTTTCAAGAGGGTTAGAGCAGCATGAAGCTTTGACATTTACAATTTTTTTTTTCAGATCTTTGCCATCTCAATTCTATTTCAGGGATTTTTCACCTTCATTTCAGGTTTTTTATGAATAGTTAAGATCACTGCAGTACCACAGTATTTACATTTAACATCTTACTTGAAGGACTTAACTCCAGTAGCTTCTACTAAAAATGATTTTACTCCCATTTGCCTACATGTCTAGAAATTTTATATATAATAAAATTTGTTTGAAAATGAAGTCAAATTATAAATTTTTAGTCAAAATAATGAAAAAGCAACAGCTCATTATTAATACCGCTGCTTATTTGAGGATATAAAATCTAATACAATGAAAGAACTGCATTAGGCAATATACTTGTCTGGACCAAGAAAAATCAAACTTCTAAAGTAAATATTCAACAAAAAAATTAAAGGATGTTTTTATCTGGTGTTGTGTATGTGTAGTTTGTTTGTAAATGAAAATGTGCCTTCTTACATGTATCAGCAGATGTTTTGTGTATTACAGCAGATACTCTGTTTACATATGGTTTTGTAAAGCATATATAATAGTATGGTCAGAAAGTATGGAAATGCTGTGAATCAAATCAAGTATTGCTTTGTTGATAATTATGCATTAAGATTACATAAAATGAAAAGTAATCTCCAATAAATTCATGATTTACTGCAACACAATATGGTAACTATCTCATTCTCTTCTGTGCTGTTGGTTTGCACACACCAAGAAATGGAAAGAAGGTGATCAGAATATACCAACCTGCTAAGAAAGCAACATTCAATTAATGCCTAGCGTATTTATAATTTCTAACAGGCAGGTTAAACATTTTCACTCAAGGAGACAAGATGTCTGTATATAACCTGCTAATGAAAAATGAGCTCCTAAGCAATATGACAAGTGTCTTTAGAGCCAAATTTTAATTTTTGTAAACTGTTATAATGCAGAAAGATACAGAAAGAATTACTAGACTTACCAGAGACTGTTCACTACTGATGGACATGTGTAAGTAAATAATAA